ATTCGTGGACACAATGGCCCAGGTGGAGCCAGTTTGAGAAGTTGTGTTTTCTTGGAACTTGTCTGTGTAACATTAGGCTTCAAAATGAGTTATTTTTTAAGTAACAACATCATGATATATGTTGAAGGTTGAGTATCATGAAAATCAATTGTTTTCCCCGAAATGTTTTTGGATGTAGATTAATCTAAAGAAAGAGTATCCCCAATGTGCATCGCATTCAAAGCAGCTGTTTCGATAAGCCCGCCACACGAATATATTTCAAAATTATACGGCGCATTTTCTTTTTTCACGTAAAACTTTTGAGGGAAAAACTTTCTTAGAACTCTTATACATTTTCTTACGTGTTTGCTGAGTCAGAGGAAGATTTTTTCCAGGGACTGTCTTGAATTGTTAATCAGGTCATTTTTTGGACAAAAAGGAAACTTTAACGTAGAGACTTGACTTAAAAAATGAATAAGTAACTAAGTAAGTAAACTCTATATTTAAAGAGGATAGCACTTAATAGCCAAACGGCTGATAAACTTGTGGCCCTCATACAATAATATGATAATAATACTGCAAATATAAATATTAATGAATAAAAATGAATACGTTATTATAGAAATAAAAGAACAGTTAAAAAACGAAAAAACCAATGATAAAATCTAAAATAGAAGTAAACATAAGTATTAAAGGACGGGTAATAGGCTCCTGAGGTAATTAATTCATTGATTTATTCATCCACTTTTTGATAGCCAATAGCTCTAGTTAAATTCTTGCAAAGAGACTGCCTGTCCGCAAAGTTGACGAAACAAAGAAATATTTTTCCATCATATCATCCAATATCTATTCATCGTAAAGAACACAACCTCTTTTGGATTAAAGCAATTTATTTTTACAACAAAAACAATCTATACTTCAATCTAATCATTTAATAATGCAGTCGAACGTTAAATTATGGTATGCTGTGCTGTCTTCAGTTCAATTCAATTCATTTCTTTCGTTCCACTTCACATCCCAGCTCACGGGCTTGTAAGCAGATGTCTCTTCGGTACTGAAGCTCCTGTTGAGTCTGGACAAACAACATAAACAGAACAGAAAAAAAATTAGCGAGCTCTCTTCGCGAAAGACGCGCGACAGCAGGGGCGCGTGTATCACAAAAATCCTCTCAGTGCCCCATGAGCTGGTTTTCCTCGCCTGTTGGGCGAAAAAAGGTGATGGCATGCTACGTCGACTTAGGACATCTAAGAAACATACGATGCTTTCCGTTGGATACAACGGATGCATCACATTACCAAAAATAAAGAAGGCAAACATCAAACAAACCAACAAAAACGCTGAAAGCTACAGATCTCTGCACTAACCTCTTTGAAGC